GAGAGAGAGAGAGAGAGAGAGAAAGAGAGAGAGAGAGAGCGCGCGAAAGAGTGAGAGAGAGAGAGAGAGAGAGAGTGAGAGAGAAAGACAAAGACAAAGAAAGAGAGAGAGAGAGAGAGAGAGAAAGAGAGAGAAAGACAAAGACAACGAGAGAGAGAGAGAGAGAGAGAGAAAGAGAGAGAGCGCGCGAAAGAGTGAGAGAGAAAGAGAGAGAAAGACAAAGACAAAGAAAGAGAGACAACGAGGGAGAGTGAGTGTGAGCGAGCAAGAGAGAGAGCGTGAAGGGAAGAGAGAGCAAGAGAGAGAGTGTGTGATCGAGCGAGAGAGAGAGTGTGATCGAGCGAGAGAGAGAGCGCGAAGGGAAGAGAGAGCAAGAGCGAGAGAGTAAAAGAGAAAGAATGAGAGAGACAACGAGGGAGAGCGAACGCGGTGATGGGAGTGTGCTCTTGATTCGTTTGCCAGTGAGTTTAGCATCAGAACACCTGCCGTCAGGTGAGCGCCGTCCCTCTGCGGCACTTGTTGCATTGGTGTGCACGTGCCTGTGTGTATTAACTGTGTGCACACGTGCCTTCCTGTGTGTATTAACTGTGTGCACACGTGCCTTCCTGTGTGTATTAACTGTATGCACACGTGCCTGCCTGTGTGTATTAACTGTATGCACACGTGCCTGCCTGTGTGTATTAACAGTGTGCACACGTGCCTGCCTGTGTGTATTAACTGTGTGCACACGTGCCTGCCTGTGTGTATTAACTGTGTGCACACGTGCCTGCCTGTGTGTATTAACTGTGTGCACACGTGCCTGCCTGTGTGTATTAACTGTGTGCACACGTGCCTGCCTGTGTGTATTAACTGATGTTGTTGGGATTTCTAGACTAAATGCAGAGGAGCAGATTCAGATGATGACAGCACTGGTGCTGCAGCTGATTCAGTGCGTCATTAAGCTGCCGCAGCAGCCACAGCAGCGTCCTTTTGATCGCCCTAGCTCTCCATCCAGTGAGGGCAAGGCCAGAAAGGATAAGAAGGTACAGTCGTGTTCCACACCGTGTATATGTTACGTTAATCTCCCAATTGATACTGGGCCCCGGTGATCAATAAGATACATTTATGAGAGTTAATTTTTGTACGGTTTTGTTGGAGCAGTATGAATTCAAACCTCTGTAGCGCACAGCTGCTGAGTATTACTGACATAATGTTTATAATCCTGCCATAACTTACAGGTTGACAATGATGTCCGGATCGTCATGTCGTACGAGATGTCTATGAGAACTGCGCATAATTTCCTTGCCGTATTCCTAAAAAAGTGAGTTGGAAAAAGACTGATTAACACCAAACCAGCAATTGCTAATGATTGCGTGACTTAAGTAACAAATGTCCCTATCAGTTTTTGTTGTTTTTTACTGCCATATCTGTGTATTGATTCCTTCGTCTTCACTCTTGCTCCAGGTGCAGTTCTAAAACAGAGGAGATCGACTATAGACCCATCTTTGAGCATTTCGTGCAAGATCTGCTCTCAACAGTGAACAAGCCGGAGTGGCCAGCCGCTGAACTCTTACTCAGCCTGCTTGGCAAACTGTTGGTAAGTTTGTCAACTGTGCGCAACAGTGCGTGTTAGGCATAGAATATTCTGAAAGCTATGGTTCATGCGTGCGTGTGTGCGTCCATGGTCTCCACTATCTGTTGGCATTGCCACTGCAAGGAATGAACTAATGCACAGTGCTGAATGTGTGTATATTTGTCTTAAATCGATGCATTGGTGTGATCCTATGATATATTTTCTCAAATGCTTTCTCAGTGGCATCTTCACGGTTTCCTTCAGTTCACCGTGTTCGTTGGATAGTGGTTCCAGCCAACTTGCTTTCTGTTCAGGTTCAGCACTTTAGCAACAAATCGGTGGACATGTCGCTGCGTGTGGCATCACTAGACTACCTAGGCGTCGTAGCAGCCAGACTCAGGAAGGATGCAGTGTCAAGTCAGCTTGACCAGACCACTGTAGATAGAATTACTGGCCAGGTACTCTCCGTTTCTCGGCATGTCTTATTCGTTTTGCCATCGAAGGCCTTTGTTGTTTTGTTCGACTTTTCCCTTTGAGGTTTTTTTGTTTTTTTAGCTCATCTGACATAGTCAGATGCAGCTTGTAGAATCGTCATGATCGTCCGGGTCCGTGTCCCGTCCGCCGTCCGTCCGTGTGGCCTAACAGTTGCGGCACAAAATCTTAAGCCGCTCGACGATACGTCACGGATATGATCGGGACGTGGGGGGTTGACATCCGAAAACGAGTGTTTGGGATGTGTCGAGGCTGGGGGTCAAAGGTCATAAGGTCAGAGGTGTAAAAGAAGGGGGGAACTATTCACGTACCTATAATTAAAGGTATAGGGAGGAAATGCAGAAATTGCGGCGACAAATCTAAACGCGCTCGACCTAGGCCTCGGTATAGTCGGTGTATAGCATCAATGGTAGCCGAAAAGCCATTCACACTGTGCCGAATATTCGTGAGGTCACAGGTCAAAAGGTCAAATGGGCACAGGGCCAGATTTTAGACATTTTATGAGGACTATGGTCTGACGCGGAAAGCGATTGAAAACTTTTTGTCCTTCACGGGTGACCTCTAGCATTTTTTATGGCATTATTGAAAGGACATGTGAAATCCTACTTTCTGCTGCTGACACTGAGCCGAAGCTGGAAGTGCTCAGAATAACCTTCTTGACCCTCAAGAGGAGGGTTAAACATGGATTGTTGACTGTCTGTGAGAAAAGAATTATTGACTGCCGACCCGGTCCGTTCGCTGGTAGAATCTAATATCCTCATGGCCTGGATGTATGAGGCTACAATGTCACAGTGAGAAGCTTTCAAAAGCTAGAATTTGGGTTAAGAAGGTTTAGTGCTTCCTTAAATCGTATAATTTATATGCATTTCTGTTACTGTCAGTTATGTTACATGTAACGTATGCCACTGCAGTGTACGTGCAGTGCAATGTCGCCCTTGGCGGTAGTGTGGAGTTTTTTTGCCTCTAAATTGCGTTACAGGTGGCCAGCTCTCTATTGTGCAGCCTGTAGGCTTGCGTACGCGGTAAATGGCATTGAGTGCTACCTATTCTGTCTTGCAGATAGTGAATTGCTACTCTACGTTATGATGGGAAGCTTCCATTCTTTTAATCTGAAGGACACTTTAAACGTACGCGCCATCTCGTGGCATATTTCATCACGATCCCAAGCGAATTATTTGCTTTGAGAAGGTGTTCCCGTGACACCATCCCTGTGGCATTCCACTGTTTCGGCGTGTATGTGAACACGATTTGGGTGACTAACAGGTTTGACTAGAATCCCACCACTCCCCACAGTAGTCACCGCAGTAGACCGCTTAGTGAATGAGCGGCTGTCGTCTGCGGCACTTTGTAGTTCCAGAAAACTCAGTTGTCATTATATAGTAATTAATATAATTTATTATATATAGTATATTAATATAGCAAAGCCTACATCTTGCCAATTATTTGTTACGTTTGTTTGGTATTTTTACTATTCATGATATACAGGTCGGGCAGAATGTGGCTTCTCTTTCCTGCTGATTCTACTAATTGTGTGTTGTTTTGACAGGTACTTGAGGCTTCCAGCAGTGAGGATGAGCGGCAGGCCGAGGGGGGAGAAAGAGAAGACAAGAACGATGCTGGTGTCGTCAAGAAGGAGAAAAAGAAACCGGTGTGTGGATTAATCCGTTTCTCACGTACCTCTCATATACTGTGTGTGTTACGTGTGCATTTAATATCCTACCCCATGTGCCAGTATAAAAGGTTGCTATGTAGGTGTGAAGATGTGTTAGTGGGTTGTTTGAATGTGTGAAGCCAAATTGTTTTGAAGACGTGAAGGTGTGAAGGTAGGTTGTTTTGAAGGTGTGACGATGTTAAGGTGAGTTGTTTTGCAGGGGGGGGGGGTGGCGATGTCAAGGTGTGACGATGTTAAGGTAGGTTATTTTGAAGGTACGAAGGACCTGGTGTGTTCGAAGATGTGTGCAGAACTCGTTACAAAGTACTCTTATCGTTGCAGGTTATTGCTACAGAGGATCAACGGCAGATTCTACAGCAAGCCCTTCTGGACTACCTGGAGCTTAACAGCCAGAATGACCCAACGCTATTAGTATGTAGTATATACCATGTTGTTATTATGGAAAAAACCATAACACAGATAGTATGGGGTATAAGTAATAATAATTCCAATGCTGTTTCCTATTTAGGCCCAGGGGGGTCAGCCTAGCTGGAAAGGAAACCAATTTTCATGCATATAGGAATGATTTGGGTACATACCCATGTAAGGAAATGTAAGTCTGCCGGGCAGCCGGTGGTGGGTGTGGTTAGTGGGTCATTTGAAAGGCACCCCAAAATTGAGCTAGATTAGCTGGAGAGGAAACCCCATGAAACCTATTGGAAAATGTTCGGCATGATCCCAGGTATCAGGAATGAACACTGCCAGAATTTTTTAGTGGTAGGGCGCATCCGCCAGACCTAAAAAACCGTTACCCCAAAATTGAGCTAGATTAGCTGGAAAGGAAACCTTCTGGCACCCATTGGAAAATGTTTGGCATAGTCTCAGGTATCGTGAATGGCCACTGCCAGAATAATTCAGTGGTGGGTGTATCCGCCAGACGCCCCCAACTGCCCCCACCCCCAAAATTGAGCTAGATTAGCTGGAGAGGAAACACCATGAAACCTATTGGAAAATGTTCAGCATGGTCCAACGTCCCAGATATCAGGAATGGACACTGCCCACATTTTTTAGTGGTGGGGCGCATCCGCCAGACCTAAAAAACCGTTACCCCAAAATTGAGCTAGATTAGCTGGAAAGGAAACCTTCTGGCACCCATTGGAAAATGTTCGGCATAGTCTCAGGTGTATCCGCCAGACGCCCCCAACTGCCCCCACCCCCAAAATTGAGCTAGATTAGCTGGAAAGGAAGTGCGTGCGCGCGCGTGTGTGTATCTCTCTTCTCGGTTTTTCTGCTCCCCGCTCGTCTCTCTCTCTTCTCTCTCTCTCTCTCTCTGCTCTCTTCTCTCTCTCTCTCTGCGCTCTACTCTCTCGTCTGCTCTGCTCTGCTCTCTCTGCTGACTCTCCGTTCGTCTCTCTCTCTCTCTCTTCATCTCTCTCGTCTCTCGTCTCTCTCTCTCCTTCCTCGTCTCTCTCTCTTCTCTTCTCGTCATCTGCTCGTCTTCCTCTCTTCTCTCTCTCTCTCTCTCCTCTCTCTCGTCTCTTCTCTCTGCTCCCTCCTCTCTCTCTCTTCTTCTCTCTCTCTCTCTCCTCTCTCTTCTCTCTCTCTCTCCTTCTCTCTCTCCTTCTCTCTCTCCTCTCTCTCTCTCTCTCTCTCTCTCTCTCTCTCTCTCTCTCTCTCTCCTCTCTCTCTCTCTCTCCTCTCTCTCTCTCTCTTCTCTCTTCTCTCTCTTCTCTCTTCTCTCTCCTCTCTCCTCTCATTCTCTCTCTCTTCTCTCTCTCTTCATCTCTCTTCTCTCTCGTCTCTCTCTCTCTCATCTCTCTCTCTCTCTGTGCTGGTGCGTGCGTGCGTGCGTGCGTGCGTGCGTGCGTGCGTGCGTGCGTGCGTGCGTGCGTGCGTGCGTGCGTGCGTGCGTGCGTAGCGCATATAGACAACGAGGTATGAAGTGCAAAATAAGTGAAATATCACATAATTCGATTAGTGGCGCGATATTCACTGCGGCAGTTGTTACAGCTGAAATTTGTCCGAGGACGACGAAGCCTTTACCCGTGAGGCGTACGACATGTCTATTTATAACGGCTAGACGTACATCCATACTATCGTCGACTCATTAAGAAGCAGTGTGATTCTTTATACACCGGCTGATAAGAAATACGACGTGAGTCGCTCGTACCGCCTTCTTCGATCATTCATCCTCATTAAAACGTATAATATATAGTCACATGCAGAATTAAAGTGTTACTGAATGGCTGGGGTGAAATGAAGCAGGGTCACTGATGGGTGGCGGCGGCGGCTGCGCTGCTGCTGCTACTATGCTCATTATGTTTCATTGTAATCGGTGCTAAATATATACGATTTATGTATGGATTTATATACATGTGTAGAAATCGTTTTTGATTCTTCTTTAAAATATTAATATTTTGTGCTAAATGATCCCCCTTGACTCTGTTTACAATATCAATATTCTTTACCAAAGGGTCCCCCTTAGTCTCTACCAGGGGGAGTATAGGCCCCCTCAAAATCGTAGGCCCATGCCAACTGGCCCACCTGGCCCTCCCTCTGTTCTGACCTGTATATAGACTATTACTTACTATATACTGCAAATTAACAACATGAAAAGAAAAGGTAGAGAAGCAAAGCTGACCGATGGATCAGTGGTTTCCTCTCCAGCTAATCAGATGTAGAGTAAGATAATAGGCTATTATCTACTTCTGAGCTAATCTATCTAAATAATGAAGGCCCGGGTGGGGGGTTTCCTTTCCAGCTAATCTAGCTCAATTTTGGGGTATCGGTTTTTGAGGTTTGGCGGATGCGCCGCACCACTAAAAAATTCTGGCAGTGTCCATTCCTGATACCTGGGACCATGCCGAACATTTTCCAATAGGTTTCATGGGGGTTCCTCTCCAGCTAATCTAGCTAAATTTTGGGGGTTGGGTCGTCTTGCGGATACACCCACCACTGAATTATTCTGGCAGTGGCCATTCACGATACCTGAGACTATGCCGAACATTTTCCAATGGGTGCCAGAAGGTTTCCTTTTCAGCTAATCTAGCTCAATTTTGGGGTAACGGTTTTTTAGGTCTGGCAGATGCGCCCCACCACTAAAAAATCTGGCAGTGTCCATTCCTGATACCTGGGACCATGCCGAACATTTTCCAATAGGTTTCATGGTGTTCCCTCTCCAGCTAATCTAGCTCAATTTTGGGGTGCCTTTCAAATGACCCCACTGAGCACACCCACCACCGGCTGCCCGGCAGACTTACATTTCCTTACATGGGTATGTATCCAAATCATTGCTATATGCACATGGTTTGCACAGTCCTTGAAAAGTCTGAATTTGAGGGGAGTCCTTGAAAAGTACTTGAATTTAGTAAATGTTGATTTTGTGCTTGAAAAGTGCTTGAATTTCATGAAAATGTCCTTGAATTTTTAGAAAGAATCCTTGCCTGTAATAAAAAGAAATTTTGCTTACCATCAATAATGTGCAAACCTCAATAAAAATTGCGTTAAATGAGCTATAAAAGCTATAGACACGATAGAACAGTTAAATGATGATCATAAATTACAGTAATCAATAAAATCAGTCAGTAAATTAAGGTATGTTGTAGAAGTGACAGTGTTTAGAAGGGTTTATTAATGTGATCCAGCAGTAAGTTTTAGAGGTGACATGCAGTGATTAAGAATGGGGTTAATTAATTAATCCAGGTCTATGTTTTTGCTTCTTGTTGTATGAATTCCGATAAATTATGTCTGATAAAATGTCCTTCGAATTTCCGATAAATGTCCTTGAAAACGTCCTTGGCGCAAAAATTATCAGCTCTGGTAGCGAACCAATGCATGCATGAAAAATGTGGTTTCCTTTCCAAGCTATGGTGACCCCTGGGCTCTGCACTAATTTAGACATAGTAACTGTATTTAAGCATATTTGTGTATTATTATTTGCAATATAACACACATTAACAATTGGCTGCTTATCTGTGCATTTGTTTTGTTTCCTGGCAGTTAACAATTGGCTGCTGCTACATCGCTGGCTTTTGCTACAGTATCAATTCAGTGGCTCATCTGCCGCATTTTTCTTGCCCAGTTTTCACGCCGAGCTTTTCTGCTGGCGGCAGTGGTGCGTGACAGGCCGTCGACGCTGAGCGGCAGGTGCGGACGGACCGCCGTGCAGGAACGCGCATGCACGTCGCAGAGGGCAACCGGAGAAGAAGAGAGAAGCGGAGAGCCTCGCTCTATCGACGAGGAGTCGACAGCAGCAGCGCAGAGTGCGCGCGATGAACTCGACACCGAGGTACGCATCATGTTTCGTGGCTGCTGTGACGCTGTGGCTGCCGGGAGCTGTCACCCAGGCGCGCTGACGTGTGCTGGCGGAGCTTACGCTCTACCTGTGCTGCGGGGCTGCTACCCAGCCGGCAGGTGCTGACCTGTGCCTGCCGGGGCAGCTGTACCAGCGGCAGGCTGCTACGACCTGTGCTGCCGGGGGGCTGTACCAGCGGCAGGCCTGCTGACCTGTGCCAAATGCCGGGAGCTGCCGAGTGTCAGCGCTGCTGACCTGTTGCTGCCCGCGGAGGCTGCAGTGTCAGGCTGCTGACCTGTCTGCCGCGGAGCTGCCAGTGTCAGCGCTGCTGACCTGTGCTGCCGGCGGAGCTGTACACAGCGGCAGGCCTGCTTGACCTTTGTGCTGCCGGCGAGCTGTACCAAGCAGCAGGCCTGCTGATCCTGTGCTGCCGGGAGCTGTACCAGCGCAGCGCTGGCTGACCTTGTGCTTGCCGGGGAGCCTTACCAGCGGCCAGGCTGCTGACCTTGTGCTGCCTGGGAGCTGTACCAGCAGCAGCTGCATGACCTGTGCTGCCGGCGAGCCTGTACAGCGGCAGGCTGCTGACCTGCTGCTTGCCGCGCGAGCTGTACCAGCCAGCAGCGCTGCCCTGCACCTGAGTGCTGCCGGGGAGCTGCTACAGCGGCCAGGCCTGCGACCTGTGCCTGCGCGCGGAGCCTGTACCACGGCAGGCTGCTGACCTGTGCCTTGCCGCGGACGCTGCCAGTGGCAGGCTGCTGACCTGTGCTGTCGGAAGCTGTACCAGCGGCAGGCTGCTGACCTGTGCTGCCGGTAGTTGCCAGTGGCAGGCTGATATGTGCATCTTCCAACCCCTCTACTACCTCTACCTTGCAACATACGGGAGTGTTGCATCTAGATTTAAGAAAGCAGTCAAGCCAGGCGCTAGGTTGTTGGCCAATTGTTTCATACTCGAGACTCGGTTGGAAAAAATATTTTCGAAAGTAATGAAATTGTCTTAAAAAGGCAGGCTGTGTGTGTGTGGTTCATATACGTTGCTACTTTCAGTTTCTAAGTTGTATTTTCACATTAAACGTGTATTTAGGATGAAGAAGCCAGAAAAAAGAACATTCTGGAAAAGGCAGAGGCCCAGAAGAAGCTGCTGCTAGGTTTAGTCGAACTGGCTTCGCACTCAAGTAATAGGAGGTATGAGGTCATCACATGTAATGGCATTGTCAGTCAGGTCTGCTAAAGTTGAATTATCTGCTTGATCATGTACATGCATTAGAGTTCTTGGGTTGGAGTTGGCATATGAGTAGGAAATCTCCCTCAATATTCTTCATAGTGTTTGCATTCATTTTACTCTTGTAAAGGTGATGCCTGTTTTAATTTTTAATCTGTGTATTCCTTGTACCTTTGTGCTGCAGGAAAGCGAAAGATCGATTAGACTACGATAGTGCCTGCTTTACTACGCGGTGGCTTGGTTCCAAGCGTCCGTTCTCACAGAGTTTTGATATCTACTTAGCTCAGGTATGGTATGCACCTCATGAATTTGTTTACACCACTGCAACTTCCATTCCAACTACTGTTCAAGGATTGCTACATCACATAAGGACAATAGCTACTTGGGTGCTTGGCCCTTTGGTTGATGCATAATTGATTAATTTTTTTACCTCCAGTGAAATATGTGATTAATATCATGATTTATAATCACAACTTGCAAAACGCTGTACTGTGTGCGCTAGATGAAGGTGATTGGATTTTGCGATCGGTTCGTAGTTTGTGATTGTGTTTTCTCTGCCTGCAGATACTGCGAGTGCTTAGTGAAACAGCCGTAGCCGTAAGAACAAAGGCAATGAAGTGCCTCACAGCTGTCGTCGAAGCTGATCCAAGCATCTTGGCACGGGTAAGGCGATTTTATTATTCAATCGTAATTTTGTGAGCAGTTAAATCATTCGCCACTTAATGTAGTAAAATTGCCACTGTGTTATTTATTTATCGCATTTTCTGAAGGTGGCGAATGCCACCGGTAGCCCTGTATATATTACATGGATACAGCTCTGCAAGCAGACTGTGTGTTGATGTATGCATGCATGCGTGCATCCATTGTATTTGAGGCGGTGTGTGTGTGTGTGTGTTGATGTGTGTGTGCCTACATGTGTCCGTACCTATGTGTGTTCATGGTATTACGGGTGGTTCGTTTGTTGTTGAGCTGTGGTTGTTCATGGTATTACGGGTGGTTTGCATGTTGATGAGCTGTGGTTGTTCATGGTATTACGGGTGGTTCGCATGTTGATGAGCTGTGGTTGTTCATGGTATTACGGGTGGTTCGTTTGCATGTTGATGAGCTGTGGTTGTTCATGGTATTACGGGTGGTTCGTTTGTTGTTGAGCTGTGGTTGTTCATGGTATTACGGGTGGTTCGCATGTTGATGAGCTGTGGTTGTTCATGGTATTATGGGTGGTTCGTTTATGGATGAGCTGTGGTTGTTCATGGTATTATGGGTGGTTCGTTTATGGATGAGCTGTGGTTGTTCATGGTATTACGGGTGGTTCGTTTGTTGATGTTCTATGGTTTGTTCGTTGCAGCCGGAGATGCAGCGGGGAGTGCACGGCCGCTTCCTCGACCAGTCGACGTCCGTGAGAGAAGCTGCCATCGAACTGGTCGGCAAGTTTGTGCTTATCCGTCCTGAACTCGTAGAGCAGTACTACGACATGCTCATGGAGAGGATACTGGTACGTCGTGGGCTGTGTTGCTACATCTTATACTGGCTGTGGGATTAGCGAGACAACACCTGTGGCAGTTGCGCTACTTTTTATTCGTGGCAGATCGGTGCTGGTGCTAGGTGTATGCAAGGGCTTTAAGCTATAGTATTTGTTAGTTATTTTCGCCCAAGGTTGATCAGTTCAGGAAAAATCACGAGTAAACAGTTTGGGTTTTATTCTGTAAAACAGGCCTATGAACTGTTTAACCCTTTTGCAACTTGTTTGCTTGTTGCTTTTGTATAAAAAAACAACATCAGTTCACTCCAGGATAGATGGACAAAAAAGCTGAATGTGTGGGAAATGCTAAATGAAGCATGAAGCCAAAATTAATTTGCATTGCTCTAAATACCAGGCCAACAATTTGTCTCACTTCATGTGCATGAAATGGTAGCTAGATGGATGGTAGCTCAATAATTTTATCACCGATGAATCTCACTAGCTCTGCAAGGAATCTCTCCAGAGCAAAACTCACTGCAGAGCAATGATCCCATACAGATAAGGAAGTCTAGTCTAGTCCTAGTCTACGAAGCAGTGCTAGTCCGTTGCTCACGCGGCCATCTTTTCTGTGCAGGACACCGGTGTGAGCGTGAGGAAGCGAGTCATCAAGATACTACGAGACATCTGCCTCGAGATCCCAGACTTTCCAAAGATCTCGGACATGTGCGTGCGCATGATTCGCCGCATCAACGACGAGGAAGGCATCAAGGTAGGCACGCCGGCGTGGGTTAGCAGCCGCGGCGCCAGCACGCAGACTGCATAGCTACGCGAGTATACGTAGCCTGGGTCGCCGGCGTGGGTTAGCGGCCGCGGCGCCAGCATGCAGACTCTGCATAGCTACGTGCGTAATTCGTAGCCTGGGTCGCCGGCGTGGGTTAGCGGCCGCGGCGCCAGCACGCAGACTCTCTGCATAGCTACGCGCGTAATACGTAGCCTGGGTCGCCGGAGTGGGTTAGCGGCCGCGGCGCCAGCACGCAGACTCTCTGCATAGCTACGCGCGTAATACGTAGCCTGGGTCGCCGGCGTGGGTTAACGGCCGCGGCGCCAGCACGCAGACTCTCTGCATAGCTACGCGCGTAATACGTAGCCTGGGTCGCTGCCGTGGGTTAGCGGCCGCGGCGCCAGCAATCAGACTCTGCATAGCTATACGCGTAATACGTAGCCTGGGTCGCCGGCGTGATCGACAGCTGTCAGTGTCACACGGTGTGTTTGAACAGGTGTGGAGGTGGAGGCACATGAGCGTCTTGTTGCATATGCAATGATCATTTATAAACAGCAATGTATAGTATGTAGTGTAGCATACCATCGCATGGCATAGCGTTATCAGACCTCATGAATATAAATATATGATCTATCATGAATGTGGATGAATGCAGTTGGATCAAACTGCATGAATGCTTTGAAGCACACTGCTGTTTTAGGATGGTGTAATTTGTGATTTGCAGAAACTTGTTAATGAAGTTTTCCAAACGATGTGGTTCACGCCGATCAGGGACGCGCAGGCTAGCAGACTTCTCAACAGGGTCGTCAACATCACCGATGTGGTAAGTACGGTGCTGCAGACAGTTGCCAGATCCTGCGGGGTGATAATAGGACTACGATGTAAATAATATGCAGCAATTACTGGCTAGGAGATTAATTACTTCTCCCGGGAGAAGATGGCTGCCGTAGCGAGCGTAATATTTTCATTTTTAATGCGCTATATTTTTCACTCGGGCAGCTAAAAGGACTCGTTACGTTGTCGTGTGTGCGCTGTGCTTTCATGCCAGAAAGCTATGCAATGCTACCCTAGCTATTTCCGCCGCATAAATTGCAATAGGCTGCCCCTACGCTTAGCTTTGCTTGCTGCAAATTACTGATGCCGAGCTATAGATGTATATCCGAGGTACGGCCCGGCTAAAATGTCGTTTGTGTTCGGCTGTACTGTCGGGTTTTGGCGAGCGGCATGGCATCCCTGCGATCTGAAACTGCTTTTGTGCTTGCAAGGTGTGCTTCATGCACCATCACTCAATGGACAGCTCTCAGCTGATCGCTACACAGGTGGCCGCCGGAGTGGCAGGCGGTAGAGCCCCCTACCATAGGGTATCGGTCAGCCTGGCGGGCGATTATTACACATTCAACACTTTGTCCCGACCCACGAGGTCCAAATCGAATCGAATTTGACAATTTTTCTTAGCTGTTACTATTACAGTTCTTGGCTGGGTCAAAGGGCACATCTCTCTCGAGTGGGTTTTAAGAGAAGCATGGTCTGTGATGAAAAGAGCAAACAAAATTGTTAAAGAATTGAGGGCAGGTGTAAAGATTGAAATAAGAGTCAGTGCTCAGTTTGCATATATTTATTTGCACATAGTAATCAGTCTCTTGAACTTGGAGAGGTCATATCTAGTCAACAAGGATAGAATTTTTATCTATAGACTTATGAGATTGTACATGTAAGGTCATTCAGTTACAATTATGAATGTCTATATCTATTGCCGAATGAAAGAGGTGACTCTTCATGAATGGAAAAAGAATAGGGACAAAGTGTTGATACATATCAAGGTCTTTGTGTGATATTTAACATGTGTTGGCTTGCCTCTTATGCAGCCTTCGTCATGTGGTTATGTTACCATAATTCCATCTTTGTGTGTTAGCTATCGTAGCTAGCCCAGACGTTGCTGTGCAATCACTGTGATTAGTAACTTTAGTTACTAAACGTACACCGATCTTTCCCCTCATTTCTCTAGGTGAATGTATAGAACAATATAGATGAATTTTTCTAGATTTTTCTTTCTAAATCTTTTCAGTATGACTGTCAGTGCATATGCAACTGTGATGGTTGTTATCAGTAACCATTCTCAAATTACAAGCTGCTGTTTTGCATGTGGCTTGTATAAATTGTCATATAATACACTTATGTCTGTGCTTATTTTTTAACATCAACCAATTCTAAACGTGTATGTTCTCTGCAGTACTACAAGAAGTTTTTCCATTCAGTTGCAAATCTCTCTCTTTTGTAAACAACTTATCATTTTAGTCATTAGGTATTGTCACGATCACAATCTTGTTTCTAGTTCTGTGTGAAAAGATTTACATATTAGGTATTGTCAAACGTTAATGGGTGTTATATTGTACTCATGCAAACGCCAAGCTAAGGTTACGGTGATTGCATATTGAATTCTGGATGGGGTACAAATAGAGTTGGTTAAATTACACAGAACATTCAGTGAATTGTTTGTAATTAAAAATAAGACATTTTATTCTTGTCCGAAATGTTTGCATGTTGGGCGTCAGCGATGTTAAGTGTTTCAGGCAGTTGATACCTGAGATTGAACCCTAATCGAGTGTTTTCTGCAGGTAACCGCATGCAAAGACACGGGATATGAGTGGTTTGAGCAGCTACTCGAAAATGTAAGTAGTTTATACCACATAAGCGTAGATGGTCAAATTTAAGGTTCCAAAAATGTCGTGTTCATTTTGAAGGATGCAGCTGTATTCTCTGCTAAAGAATATCTGTCTGAAGATGGCTATGTAGATAGCAAGTAACCTAGCTATGAGAATTGAATTATTAATGTGCTAGTTGTAAGCTCAACTGGAGACAAGGTCGATCCACGCTCCATCATATCTAAACAACGTACTCGCATCTATCCAGTGCTGGGCCTTTTAAAATAAAATGAAACTTAACCCTGCAAAATGTAAAGTTATGCAGGTGTACTTTGGTAGAAATAGACTTCAAGATGCTGATCTTTTTTTAGAACACTCAATTGGAAAATTCGACAACTTTGAAGATCCTGGGTGTATGGTTTCCAGCACGATCTTAAATGGGCCATACACGTTCAAGATTTGGTGGCTAGAGCCAGTGGAAGAATGTTCATGCTTTGTATACTAAAAAAATCTAGGCTTAGCTGTGAAGATCTCGTACAAATTTACTGTGGTTACGTCAGACCGATTCTGGAATATGCTGCACCCGTCTGGCACCCAGGCCTTACCAAAGAGCTCTCACGTCTAATTGAATCTGTTCAAGTAAGGGCAGTGAAAATAATAATAGGTTATAATAATTGGAATAGGTATGACATGTACGATGAGGTACTATCTCAGCTTCAGATCCAAAGACTTGCGTTTCGTCGCGAGCAGCTTTGTGAAAATGTTGCTTATCAGCTCAAAAGTTGTAAACGATTACAGGATATTTGCCCTCCTTCAGCAATAAATGTGTCTAACCGCATAACACGGAATTCTAGTAAACTCCGGCTTGCAAAAGTCCCTCGTACCAGCCGGTACTTCAATAGCCCCGTTCCTTACATGTGCAGGATGATTAACAAGTTGTAAACAGGCACTGAATTTTTTACAATAGCATGGATAATTAGTCTTTTGCTTGCACACCTTTATAAACATTTTGGTCTCTTTGAAATAACTCTCTGGGCAACTTTCGGTTTTGTGATATGTTTGATTCTATCATTAGTTGCGTTCACACGGTCATGGTTTGGCTCGAGCCAAATGGGCTAGATTTGGCTCGGGCCAAATTTGGCTCGGGACGGTTTGAGTCGGC